CCTTAAGAAGCTACCATGGAATCCCTAAACCATCCCTCATTCTTGACACTGCCGTAAACAAAAGCCTGGCATGCTATCCCCCTTCATCCGCTAGAACAAAAACAACAACCACAGCAACGAATATCGTCCCAGGAGGTCGATGCTCCTCCCCACGTCGATACCTCCGTCCAGCAGGGGCTGAACATCAAATTACCTGACAGGTAGATGGGAAGAAAGGGCCCAGTTCTCAGTGAGATAGCTAGGTCGATCACCCGACCTCGAACCTTCCCAATAATCATCTCCTTTCATTTCTTTTTCACTTGAAGAGCATGGGGTACAGCTCAAAGCCTTTAAATTGTTGGATAAAATCGTCCGGCTGGTAGTTTAATGATGCTCTCCAGGAGCTTCAAAACACGAAGAACCACATCCCACGGAATCTCATGATAGTACCTCTTGAATGGCATGATTCCATGGACGTATTCAGACACGAAACGGGAATATTTCTTCACGAGTTCCGATGCATTGCAATGAGCTTCTTCCAGAACATTTCCAGTCTATTAGAATGGTTCTCCATTCTAATAGACTGGAAATGTTCTGCTGACCGAACAGCTCAGCGATATCTTCCAGGCTGTTGCACCGGGCTTTCATTTCCCAGTCCTTTTATTCAATGTGACGAAGACAGAATGCGATAGTCGCCCTTCGACGAAATCACAAGATATAAGACGAGAACTTGAACGGGATTTTCTCTTTTCATGTTCAGATATTCTTTACGAAAGACGTCACCATACTCTGAAGCCCGATGCGAAGAAGTGAGCCTCATGATACGTGCCAGCAGTGGAAGCTGACAAACAGACGGGCAGTGCAAGGGATTTTTCCTTTGCACCGCCATCGTTCCCTCCCTACCCAACTGTCCCAGCTCATGCAGGCGGAAATTCACACGTGAAAATAATGACATGCAATTCAGATATCCTGACATTTTCCTCATATGCTTTCACACGCGACACCATATCGGTCCAATGAATCGATTTAACTGACGTTAAATCCACCCTTAAGGGTATTTTTGCATCCTCCGGTTTTTTTTTCAGAACAGGCACTGATTTCGCTGAGCCCTCGCAACGAGGAAGCAGGATATGCTTAGCGCAATTTCGTATACACATATGAAACTGATATAATGTATTGTGACGGATAAGGATGGCATCGAGAGGCTCAACTGAATGTGCAGGGTTCGGTGGTGTAGTGGTAGGTGTGGACTGGCCGTTAGTCCTCCGGGCCCAAGCTAAGGGCCGGCAACCTTGGGTTCTTTCGACCTCTCATGCCGTCCGACTCCCGAAGTTCCCCTCCGTAACAGCATCTTGCCTTGCATTTGAGTAAATAAGACAGTCTTGACTTCCTCCGGTCCTACTTTGGAAGGGTGCGATAACACACATAGTAAAAGAAGCTGTTGGGCCACTAAAGGACGTTTGGATCACATTAAAGTAACGTCAGAGAGAAGGCTTTCTCCAATTCCTGTTTTATATTAATAGCAAAACCTGAATCCATGATAACGTTGGCTTTACATTCACGACCCCTCTTTCCCCTTGTTTTATTAAAAAAAAAACTTAGACTACACGATCCTATTTGCTGATTAGTTCAACCGTGCATGAATAGCACCCGACTTTCCTACGACAGTGAAATTACGACCATGGATGAATAGAATCCAACTTTCACGACCGAGCTCGAAGACCCTCGAAACGACTCCAATATCCAGAGAAAATCCTCAGACATATTTCCATAAGCGGTCACTGTCCATGTCGTTGTCTTTTTTCCGCAATTTCTGTCCGACAAAAATTGCACTTCACCATTGTCCTGAGCTGGTTTACGAGCCCGCTCCTCGCCTGTGATGAATGGCTCCGCTTATCCCAATAGCATCCCCTTTGTCTACCCCCTTGACACTTCCATTTACCATATTTCCTTTCAGATCTTCAACTTCGTTGAGCAGTTTTAGACAAAACCCTGGAGATCTCATCCTGGGTCCACTAAAACGACCTAGCTAGAACGATCTCGTACATCTAATTCCAAATAAAATCCTTCCCCTCTCACCTTCACCTTCGAAGTGATACCTCCCTGTTGTTTCGGAGGCTCTGCCAGTGCTTCTTGGCTTTCATACGAGGAAGAATAGGAGAACGGGCGGTATCGGAAAGGCACCACGTGAGATTAGAAGCCTGTCTCTGGCTTCTCTCCAATTCCCTTCACTCACTCTTTATATTTTTTATTTATTCTCCTCTTAACATGGCAGAGACTTATGAAAGACTTTTCGCTCCCTCGGATCATTTCGTGGCCCTTGTCGAGGAAACAAATAGGCGAACATGTGGTTCCAGTCCTCCACGCCAGAAACACTCCTGAAATACTCTGTCATGAAGCGAAAGGAGGAAACACGCAGACGTAAATAGCAAACGCGACTCATCGCTTGCTTCAATGAAGGGGCAACTAACCTAAGTGCTTCACTCTACATGCATCATCAAAGCGTTGAGAGGCAAAGCCCTCATGGTAATTTCCAAGCTCATCCTCACGTGAACGGAGAGGTGCGAAGGCGATACTTCCAAAGGACAGAAATAAATCAAACTCTTTGTCGGATATCATCATCATTTGCTTCTTGGGATGGAAAGACCTAGTACTAAAAACTCCCCTCCTTTTATGCAGCCGGGAGGGTGTGGAGTCGCAGCGAACGATGGTATTATTATAATACTAGCGACTACATTTTTTAAATGGTGTTATTCATCGTGAATGAATGTGATGGGTGTGGTGCACACATGCTGCTCTTCCCAAGATGGGATTGAGGGATCAATGCTTGACATTTACTTGCTTTTATGTGATGCACTGCACGGCGCGATACTTTTTTTTTCCTAGATGGAAGGATCTTGGTACTGCCGGGGCTTTGTCGTCAAATGAAGTCCTTGGGGACTCCAGGAATCTCATGGGGATATATATATCTAGAGGGAGGAACTGATCGAAGAAGTTTGGCTTCAAGTTTGGTTATCGGGGGCCCTCCTCCTCCAAATCAGATTAAGCGAGAATCTCTTCGACACAAAAAGCGGGTGCGATGGGTTTATAGGCGGCTTCAGCTCATTGCTGACTGGTAGATAAAAAATGAACCTCTGCAAAAGTATATGGCAACGATGGGAAGGCATGAAATGCTAACTGAAGCAAACATTCAAAACCAATAATATTCCCTGACACGCAGAAACTAGTTGTCTAGATTAAATGCAGAAATAACAGATCAGTTCAAATTATTGCAATTATTGATGCAACTCTAATTTCTAGCTGATGCGCTGGGTTTCAGTTGATTGAGCAGAAAACGACCAAGTTGCGGAAAACAGTTCCGGGAAGTTTAGGACGACAAGTGGCCACCCGAAAATAGCAGCACAATACATAGCATTCAACTCGTTTTCACTACTAGTTACTCTCCGGTCTGGCAGCCTGTGCACTCCTCCGGTGTATGACACTACTTTCTCTCACGGATGAACGGCTGAACTACTGCAAGATAAATGCCAAAAATATCTGCAAGTAATCTAAGTTGCCAAATGCCTTTAGGTCCGTATACCTTCTAGAACAGCCTCTCGGGCCAACAATCACATTCCCACCTCATCTCCGGATCCGTAATATTGAGTAACCGAAACTTTTTAAAAGGCGTCTTCGGTTCAGTACTCCGTCTATTGTAAGTTTATGTGAATATTTAAAGCTGGCCGCAGCGCAAAGAATGAAAGGAAAGCACAGAAGACGTGTAACAGCATTAGGTTGAGTAAGTTTTTCAAGACGTTCTCTTAACACCTTGAAATTTAGGAATCTCAATACCCGAGACCAAAACCCCCTCCTCCCGCGCTTGTTCACAAAAGGAAATGCAGATCACCACATTGAAAGGGCTTTTTCTACATGGCAAAATTGGTTGCTCAAAAGTCCTCTCGAGGAAAGAGGAGCTTGAAAGGCCATAAGGCCATATGCTCTGCAGAGCCAGCAGAGTTTCTGATTCGGGCTAGAGGAAGAAAGCCTTCAAGCCCAATACGTAGTCCGAATAAACGACAGAACGAGGGGGGAGAGAACCCAAATTATATTACGACCCGACAGCAAACCTATTCCTCCCTTCTCTCCCCTTCCAAGCATCTTGCCATCAAATCACTATCATCTGACATTAAGAGGGAAAAAGGAAGGGAGCCGAATTCTTCCGATACTTCTATTTACAGACACTATTAGCATGCGAAAGACGCTCACAACGTTCCAATTAGAGCATGATGCATGGTTCATCCAAGTATCAAGTTATTTATGAGCCTACTCATTTTCCTTCAGGCCAATAAGAGCATGTGTTCAAGATGAGCCATGCCCTACAAAATGCATAAGGTCGTATTATATATGCATACACATCGGCCTGCCTATGCATGCCGCCTCTTATCTTAAATCTCGTGTGAATTAATGAGGATCTCTTTCTTTTATGGCCTGCGCACGATACCAACCGTCACATGATTCGAGCAGCACTTCCCGGCTTTAAGGTCACACGATCGATCAGGTGAGCAAGCAAGGTCCCCGAATGCTCCCCGAGTCGCTCATGCATTCAGAATATATGGACGCCAATGCGGTGGGAAGTTTTCTTTGGCAAAACCATTCGCGTGATCTCTCTGAAATAATCATGCTCCCTCATGCAATACTGTCCATGCGGAATGAAGGGGTAGGAAAAAAAAGAAGAAATAGCAGTAATAACGAGGGTCGATGCACGACAGACAGGGTCCATATTCCTTGCTGGAGACAGGTAGGGCCAAAATGAGGAGCTGTGATATTGATTTCAACAGCACTCAATTGATGTCTTGGAAGGTAATGGACGCAGGAGTCCGCTCTTTCCCACCCTTCACTTTTCCCCCCACATTTCTTGCCTCTCCATCATCACCGGTCCCCAATCGATACCTTCATTTCATGGCTTCAATCATGGACCCGATTTTGTCGTGCTTCCCGGTTTACATCGTGACTACATCATGAACCAATGCATACGTTTACAGGTTTACAGCCATCATGAAGCCATTGAAGCCGCGAATGGGAAGGAAAGCGACGCTCGGGGTGATCGTCCTAATCTGGACCATGGCGTCCATCGTGTCCCTTCCCATGTTCATCTTCGCCACCACAACCACTCTTCACTATCAGAATGGGGATATGCGTGTCCTCTGCTACACCGTCTGGCCCGACGGCGCCTCCGCACCCAGCTATCACGAATACATGTGAGCTTCCCATTTTTGTAGCCACTTCATTAAAATTGGATACAGAACCAATAATTGATAAAAGCTGAAACCATGCCATTACTTGAAATGAATATTGCCCCATTGTAATATAAGGGTTTAGTTTAATTCAAGAGAAGCTAGACTTAGCAAGTCAATGTGTTGGAGCTGTATCTTGAATAACCCTTGGCTTCGGAAATCTCCCAGAAAATTCCATGCTGACAGATTCTATGTTGAAACGTCATGCCTACTACTACGTATTGCTTCTTTTTTATTTATTAAGGGCATGGAGGTCTGGAATTTCATTTACGCATCCTAAAAGAACTCTTCACCCGTTTCTACATTATGCAGTATATGGCTTGGAAACTGCGACTAGAATTCGCGGAGAGAAAAAATCGGAAGATATTCTAAGGCGAACAATTTGTCCTTTCTAGCTACAACGTGGTGTTTATGGTGGTGACGTACTTTCTGCCGATCGCCGTCATGATTTATACATATTCTCGAGTGGGAATGGAGCTGTGGGGATCGCAGGCCATTGGGGAAGCCACTCAACGCCAGAACGAGACCATTCACAGCAAACGGAAGGTATGTATGACGAACTCCAATCATCGTTAGAGAAGAAGTTCACAGACCTTGCTTGTAGGCAGTAAGGAAGACCTGCAACTCCACCTTGGAAAAACGAAAGGAATTCAAAATAATTATGTGCACATTAAACTGAACTTCTGACAATGTTCACATTTGCCAGAAGCACAAAATCATTTTTAAAAATGAATCGAAAGACTCCCAGATGAATGACATTTGCAGCTCAAAACAATGAACAAAGTTTGCACCTGAGATACTGGTTTAAAGCAAAAGCATGGATAGCTATGATGCTGATACGTGCTCGGGAATATGTAATTACGACCCCTACGGCATATAGATCCCAGCATGCCATATGTCAGAATGAGTTCCCCATAAAAGGCAGAAAAGCCTCCCGCGGAGAACATATTCTTGGTTTCCAGGGAAGCATAGCTCCTTATTGATCCGGCATATCCGAACTTTTTGTCACAATATCAATAAAAACCTGCAAAGGAAATATACGGTATATGCCCACGAAAAACACCCGTCCCCAGCCTCAATGTCCAACGCGTGGGCATTCATATCACAGTATGTTATCGGCTCATAAAAACACAATTGAAATAGCCTCATAAAAACACAAGAGAAACAGATCAGTTAATTGAGTTTCGGCATAGGGAAATTCATGTGGGAAAAGTATTTCCTAGGGCCTCCAGTCTCTCCACTAAAGCTGTACAGGTTTAGAGACATTGCCTGGCAAGTGGTGCAGGGGCGTATTTGGCACAATTGAGCCACAGGAGCAGGGTAGCAGAAAGGGGGCTGCCAAACCGGTAATGGGGGGGGGGGGGGGGGGTGCAGAGCGAAAATTCTCAGGAGCGAAAAAATTGTCGAGGGTATGCTGAGCACTTTCAATAGCGTTCAATGGAAGCAGCCGCCCCCCTGACCCCCTTAAAATACGCCACCAAGTGGTGGCAAATATCATTGCATCACATTTCTTAGACTCAGCTAATTCAATGCCAAAATATTTGCATGACTGATGAAAGGATGATTTGCCACTGCCATTACTACAATCATAACTTAATGTACATGAACATGTATTGTACATCGGTGCGATGTTTATTTAACACATATTGTCAGAAATCATTTTAGCCCTTAATTTTTGAATGAATGGCAATGCCTAAATAATAAGCAATATCAAAAAGAATTAACAATATATTCACAGAAATGACATAATCAAAATACTACATATCATGCAAATTTGTGAGCATTAAATAATGAAGTACCACTTGAAATGACATTTTAAAATCAAGAGTGATGCAATAACTTCGACCACCGTTGTAGCATGTTGTGGTATGTGTAGTATAACTTTATAACTGTATCCCTCGTAAATTCACACCATTTTTATACCCAAGACATTTAGAAGAGAAATAGCCGAGAGATATAGAATTGAAGTCATATGCAACTTCATTTCCATATACAGTGTGTCCACAAAAGAATGCAACAGTTTCTAAAATTAATAACTCGGTAAGTATTGGATGAAACGCACTGATCTTTGCATCGAAATGAAGGTGAAGACTGGGAGTTTATTTATATCCCGTTATAGATGTCGCTGGCAGCTCGAAATGCGCGCGCAAGGGAGTTTCCTAATTGGTGCCTATTTTTGACGTGCGCCTCACCCCCATCCGTACAATTGCAACTGTTCAGCAAAAGGTTCAATGTGTGCTTTGTTGTGCGGAGACCAAGTCATTCATTACAGTTCAGCATAATTTTCAGCGTGTTTATGACATAAAAATGGTGCTGACATCGAGACTTATTACGGTTTGTAAGTAAACTCCCAGTCTTCCCCTTCATTCTGATGCAGAAATTACAGCATTTCATCCATTATTTACTGAGTTATTAACTTTTGAAACTGCTGCATTCTTTTATGGATACCCTGTATATCCTGGTCAGATATCTGACCACGATGAAAAGCCTATCCTTAATGGAACAAGCCTCGAGTAAACAGATGGAATGCAGTCACATATGAGACACCCCATGCATTTGTTAAAGAATACGTGGAGAGCATAAGACAGCTCGGACAGCATTTCTTGACAGCTCAGACAGTGCGATATTAAGGGCCTCTAGAGTATGCATGTCACGTATACCCCGTTCCATTGCTTGCAGGATCGATCGGGAGCCCTGATTCTCAGTACTGTCATACTATGTTCTACAATTCTCAGCAGGATTCATTTGCGTAACCTACCTTTAGTTTTGGTAGCAGCACATTTGCACAACAAAAAGGTTTAAAGGTCAACGAGGCACTAAGTGTTACACCATATACGAGAAAAAAGACTTGGAAAAAAATAACAAAATCTGATATGGCGTAGACATCTCTCGAACACCTTTAATCGGGAAAACTAGAGAAGTTCTATTAATGACAGAACGAGAGTCGAAAACAATTCAATGTAATTAAGACAATTATGACAAAAATCATGAAATACAAATGAGAAAACTGCGAAATTCTGAGGTAAATCAAGTAAGAAATCTGATTTAAACTTTTATTTAAATCAGATCTCTTACTTGCAGCATATATTTGAAAGCAGCTCATTTCAGATATTGATCATTATCAGAGCAATGAATGAAAAGAATTCGACCTTTACTTAACATTAGGGTTCTCGATGCAACTCATACACTGTGTCAAGACTCCATAAATACTTGGAATGTGCAACACGTGAAAAAGGCTCGTGATTTTCACTCATTATTGCCAACATAAGTGGTTGTATTGATAAGCAAAGATTTGTATTTCTTAATCTCGGTTGTCCCTTAGTCCTCTCCTCAAAAATATTGTTTTACATTAAAGACCATATGAAATCTTGCATGGCGTATATGTACAGTACACGAGAATATGTCAGAGTTGCAGAGAACAAGGTCTTAGTTTGGAGAAGCCCAAATGTCTCAAGATAAAATAAATTTACTTCTGGACAATGTCTGGACTGTTACTGTCAAAAAAGGTGTCCATTCTTGCCCATATTTAAGCAACGGTTTGGTTCCAGTCAATTTTACCCTGAGAATAAAGGCGAAACAAAAGAACGACACGAGCTCTCCATTCCCTCTCGATAATTTTTATACAGAGCTCCCTGGAATCTAGCCGATTATGCGGCGGACAACAGCCTCCCAGTAACACTCCAGGAAGTCCAGCAACAGATATACAAGGTAATTCAAATTGAGGATGTATGAGTGACACTTTACAATCTACAACTGTTTCAGCCTGTTAATAAGTACAAGTCCTTTCTAAGATGTGTTCATTAATATATTTAAATTTGTATTGGCTTGAAAACTGAATTAATATTCAAATGTCTACGAAAAATGGGCATTTAGAGGATATTCACAGTTGTGAAACTAGGTAAACAATGGCAGTTGCGCAGACTGAGAGAAAAATGTCCATTCCAATGATCGACATGCCTCCTTGGGTCTCTGAGGCACATTAAAAACTTGAAGGTTAAGTCCTGCCCTGTGTATTTTGTTATGCGGCAGGGTGTGAAAAGTAGCAATGATAGTAGTTAGCATAATCTTTTTTTAGTATGATACAGTTGCTGCCTTCGATACCCAGCTTCAAAATGAAGGATGCATTACAGTAAACTCATTAGCACTCAAGTTGCAAATGTGACCTCTGTGGCCAAGGGAAGCAATTTGACCAATAGCAATGAGAGTTTTACTTTCACTGAGTGTTTATAGTTACTCATAATGTTACATGAATATGGAAATAAGTTTGTCCTCTAAACGACAATACTGGCTTTTAATTGAAATTCCGTTGTTATTCCTGTTCTCAAGACAATGCAAAGAAATGAAATATTAATATATACACGAAAGCAGAGGACAATCCAAGCTCTCTTAGTGACTTCCCATCATATAACGTTATTTTATTCATATTCAGCGTGACCCACTTTTGAAGTTCCAGGTTTTGAAATATCAGGCAAATAAAAATTTGAGGGAAAGTTAAAAAAGGAAAAAAGAAGGAACCCGTGGATTGAGTAGTATTCAAGATGATTTTTCGCGCCAAGGAGGCACGGTTGGGGGGAAGGAGGAAGGCGGGGGGGGGGGGGGGATCGCTTTACGTCAAATGAACGCCTTTCATTAAGTACGAAGAGCACATGAAAAACGAGCACACAAACGACACATAACTGTTTCACCCTCGAAAGTATGGTTCTCAAAGTCGCGTTCCGCGACCCATCTGCGTACACTAAGAGAGAAATGTTTCAAGCCCAATATACACAATAAAAGGTAGTGGCAGGTTATTCATTCTATGATTTCACACGGGCCCACAGAGAGGTCCAATCTTGGCAGTGTGGTTTCCGTGTGAATACCGAAACGAGTCTGAGATCCCTGCTATAAAGCGTCCAAGAAGCGCGAATCACTCTCGCGAAATCTTCAAGTTTTCCAAAGTAAAAAAGTTGAATCTCATTTATAATCACCTCTATGAATAAATATGAATATATGAACTAGTCTTCATCCCCACTTTAAACGTATTTCGCGACTTCGCGATTTCGCGGCACAAAATCCTATAACCTAGATACGACGAACGTGGAAAAGGTGATTTTCTTGACCCGGTAGGCTACGGTGTAGGCTTTATCTTCATGGCTTTCAGCAAGTAATCATTCTACCTTTGGCAGGTACTTTTAATATCAGACTTGTGTCTTGATATCAATGTATTTCAGCCATGCCATCTTGTATAAACCTATCCGCCCAAACCAGTGCTCGCTCCATTATATCCATCTTTTTCTACTTATACGAGAATGCAGCAGAGCGAGAAACTCGGTGGGAGGTTCACGCTGAGCAATGATACCTCAAGCAACAGAGGCTGTTAATTACAGTAAAAGAGGGATGAGGTCAGTCTTTGGGCTATAACTTAACTTTAGTAACTTTTTGATCCTAAGCCAGGAAAACTGAATTCTAATTTGGGTGGAGAGATGATCCGCCGTTTAGGACAGTAAGATTGAGGAGCATTTATTACCATGGGAGAGCAAAAACTTGAATAAGAGACAGAGTTGAGATTTGCCTGTCTGTGTGCAACTAGGTGGTGAAGATGATGATATTTATCGTGCTCGCATTCGCCATCTGCTGGCTTCCATATCACGTCTACTTCATCGTCATCTCCGTGGACCCGGGCATCAATGATTTGCCATACATCCAGGAACTATACCTGGCCATCTACTGGCTCGCCATGTCCAACTCCATGTATAATCCCATGATTTACTGCTGGCGGAATCAACGGTAAGAGGCACATTCATTGATATATACAAAATATACGGACATACTGTGAGGAATTTCAGAACTAGGTCGCTGAAGAATGGAAGAGTGTCGATATCCAATAACTATGATTACACGATTCCTCGAAAACATAGGATACGTGTCGTGCATGCATGACGCTTCACACATAGAATAGAGGAAGAGCCTGCATGTATGAGACATGTCCAGAAAGCAGATGAGAGATCAAGGAAAGGGCGGGAGCCTTGGCCGTGGCTTCATCCATCCATATCTGTCATGGCAATAGTGAGGGAATATGCAATGGGACACGGCCCCCATGCACAACAAACATCGCTTCCTATCCATATTTGATGGAGTCTGCCTTGTTCCTACGCCTTGTCAGAAACATGCTGTCAAGACTGGTCACTTCAATCACTATAAATGTTTCGTACGATTTGGACGCAGATCTCGAACATTAAAGATACACCCTTCGACCTTATTCCCATGCACGACGTACAATGGAAACCGATCGAGACAGGGAGATTCTCATCAGCTATGATTAAAGTCTATCGGGTCGGTGGTCCTGAATAATGCATGGTAGCGAAGAGGAAGAAAAGGAGAAGACTTGCCCTTCGTTTCATTTCGACCCTTTCGAGTAGGGCTCTTCTGTCAATGTGCCGGAAGAGCTCATTCAGAGGCGGTAAGCGATTCCGACAAGGGAGAAAAACTCCGTCTGACTCCTTTTGGAGAAGTTGCTGTTGGCCAAAAAGGAAAAAGAGTTGTGCTTTGGGTCCTTCCTTCATTTTCTCTCTTCTGTTTCTCCCCTCCATCGCTCCTGAATGATCGACATCTCCAGACGACGATTATCTGTCACCCCATCGCATGCGAAACAAGTCCTTTCCCTTCGTTTACCATATACAGGCATCTCTTGGGAGCATTCCCATCTCATTACGAGCCTTAAGCATCATCAGCTTCTGGGGATCTCGACAATTTTATTCACGTCTTGACACATCCTGTGGGCTTCCAAGCTGATTACCTTCCATTATGCTTGAAAAATCAGATTTCTGTGTAGGATGAAGTAATCAAGAACCTTTTACAGAATAAGGTAGCATACACGAAAAGCTTCTTACAATTGACGGCCAGCCTGACGGCTACAGAGCAGTCACGAGGAGACGGTCCGTTATAGACCAATTCTCCAACAGCATTATCTCAAAAGAGGGGGATTTCGCCCGTTTGAGACGAAGGGTTGATGTAAGTACTGTACTCTCGCGCGACACTCTCAATCGCGTTTTGCCGACTCATTAGCAATGAAATGGAAAGAGAGAACGGAATTAAATGTTTTTAAGGAACATTATCAAACATAAACTTCGTTTTCGACTACTGACGATAATTTCATCTAAATCGTTTCATTCCATTTCATTGTACACATAAATCCACCTTAACCCTTGCTTGGCCAAGGGGGGATGATTTTGAGCCAAACTTATATTTGAGTTGTTTGTGTACTAAATGATTGACAAAAAATTTCAGAAATTTTCTCAAATCATTTAGTACACATAAACAACATGAGTTGTGGCTCAAAACGATCCTTCCTTGGCCAGGTAAGGGTTGAGACACCCCTACAGAAGTTCAAGCACTATTAATAATAATGAACTCTGTGAACGCATGGAACCAAAAGATTATGCTTGTGATAATGTCGTGTGGCAACGTCAGTGCCACACCATGAGTCAACAAAAGGCGTGACACTTAGGGAGGCGCGCGTCGACACGACCGTGATGGTTCACCACCATATCAGAAGTGCTCACACAAATTAATCTGTGTTGCAGCTCACTTATTCATAGAGCAGTTGAAAGTAGAAAGTAACGCTCTGAATGTCCAGAATGGATCATGGACATGCTCATTTCTGAGGATTTCTTCCTGTCAATCGCAATGAAATCATTGAACCGATCATACACGTCATTTCCGTCCCTCACGAACGTAGTCAAAGGCAAGTGCCATAACGGGTTTCCATATTGCAGGTTCCGGCGGGGTTTCAAAATCGTTTTTCGCTTCCTGCCGTGCGTGCACGTGACGGAGGCGGAACTGGCGTTGGACGACCGCAAGTCCCTCCTTTACACGGCCCGCTACAACGCTGGCGAGAACGCACACTGCCGTATCAATCGGAATGGTAAGGTTTCCATGCACACCTGCATGGTAGGCCTATCGATCACGTAAAGTGGCGTGGGAAGACTCGAAAGGATAGGGGGTCTCGGAAAACCACCTGCCTCAGGAAGGCGAGAAAAAGGATAGACTGTGCGATCTACAGTGTAGACGCTGCGACTAAATGGGCGAGATGGAAGGTTAGATGAAACAAGGTCATGGAAGAGTCCCCAAGAGATACATGTGGCTCTGGGTAATGACAGCATCAGAGAATCCCTTCCCCCCCCCTTGCATGTAGACGTTATATGGTGCGTATGTCTTCCATGAAGTCCATTACAGGGGAATACAGTATCGGATGGCGGGACTCATTGTGCCATATAAAGCAGATCATGTGGCTCTGCCCACGTAGTTGTTATGATGTCTTGATGCGCGCCGCCGCAAAAACGTCGGGGGAATTATGCGATTCGATTGAGAAACTGTACGAAACTCTGAATGATATTGGTAATGAAATTGAAGATTAATGGATGCATTAGAAACATTTTAAATGCTAAACTGCCTTTTTCAAAATGCAAAAAAAAATTCCCGAAGCCTACTTTTTTTTAAATACGAATAACTTTTTTTTCTATGCCGTGCGCTCCATAGTATAGCAACTGTTTAAATAGGTACTATGGTTCTGATGATACGCAGAAAGCCCACATCTATGATGCAGATGCCAGATAGTGGGAAAAAGTTTTCATCATTCGGAAGAGCCTTCTTGGTATACTGCATACTTCGTCCTTTAAAGGGATATCGACGGGGAGCCGAGCTACCCTGACGACGTCGACGAGTCTGAGCAGCGGAAACGTCCGGAGGACGTCAGTTCCGGTCCACTGTTCCGCTCCCGGAACCCTTCCCGTTCCTGTCCATACTTCCACCAGGAAGACATCCTCCCCGGTAACCGGCCCAACGGGCAACAACATTCTTCAAAAGTGGAAGAATGGTGGAACCAAACCCTACAACGTCTAGACTTTCGCGAGTCTCTGAATCAATCAATCGATAAATCAAAACGTGATTGCATCACGGACTACCGCCTTCCGAGGTCCCCTTAGGCATTTTCAAGTGAGATGTGTGGAAGTACTTGCTTTTTATTTCGTGATACCCATATCTGTAAGCTTCTTGCTTCGTCCCCTACCCTTCCATCCTTGCCCTGATTCATATTTTTGGGAGAATTAAACCGGGTTTCGGTGTGCTTTCCATATGTTCTAATCTTTGCACAATAAAAAAAAAGACAGCCTGCGTAGAGGACAGCCGCAAAATTCAGAGGACTAGAGGAAGAGCATAGGATGCAGGCTGACACGGGTCGCTGACCTCACCATCATATTTTTCTATTCACTCTCTTTGCTTCCCTTTTCGTTCTCTTTTTGGCAACGACACTGAATCACACTTGATGAGAACTCAGGGGACATCCAGGGATGAGATTGGAATCGAGTATTTATGAGCCACCAGTAATTTCCCCTCGGGGAACACATTCTTCCACATAAATTCCTGTCATCTTTCGTTTCCCTTGTCTTTTTCTTGGTACGATGGAATGAGAGCTAAAATGCTCTCGTATCAATCCTCTAAAAAAATTGGAGTCAAATACGCTTCATAGAGAACGTTTTCATTTACAGCCGCTGCAAGTGTCACCCTGTTTATAAATGCAGTTGCTTTTCCTGCCGAAATATGTACCCTGAGCCGCAGCACTTCGTTGCGGAGACTGAATTGAAAAACGCGACCATACTTTCTATTATAAGTTCCAATTGTTATCTCCCGTTGGCAGAATTCACTCATTCTGACAGAAAGGTTCATTACGGTGGAGACTTGAGATCTAGCTGGATCGGAGAGATGGATGGTGGATGACGTACTGTACAGAGGAAATTCCTTTCCCTTTTCTCCCTGTGCACAATGCTACGCTCCCTTATTCTCCTTTCCCTTTGTACTCGTCCTCACCCCGCATCACATTCCCCTTTCCTTTTGATGTTTACTCCTTTTCTCTTACACTCGTTCTCTTTCACGCTCTAGTCCGGACTCAAAGTGATCCCTTCGGCCACAAAAATTCATCGGATGAGAGTGCGACCAGGAAGATCTATTATTCATACCCGATAAAGCCATCCAATTAGGGTTGGAGGATGGATGGAGCGAGCAAAGAAATTGCAAGCGAAGCGAAGGTGAAATGTAGCGTTCCTAATCCGCCAAAGAAACGATTGACTTCGGTCATCTCTCTGGAAAATTTCTAACGAACCCTCCCGACAATTAACCCTTTTCTCCTCCAATTTCTCTCTTTTCTTTCCATCGATTTCCTTTCTTCATTCTGAAGGGAAAATGTGAGATGAAGTAGACGGTAGAAATTGAGGATCTACATTTTCTCTCCTTCCAATTATGGGTGAATACATGCCGTGCATGATCGCAAATCTCTTGCAGAGGATTAGGCCACAGAACAAATCTTGAACCAATGGATCTTTAAGGCTCGGGAATATCATTTATAGATGGGGGGCATGGGTCCATTTCATTAGCAAATTAATAAAAATGGACTGTGATTTTAAAAAATTAGGAATAGGCGCTTAAACGTCAACAGAACGATTCTGTAAGTAATAGTGTGGAATCGATATAGAAAGAAAGTAAATGGACGGGAAACTACAGGAAGGCATCTTTGTCATTTGTCACTCGTTAATTCAATTATAAAGAGGAAAACTGGGGGCTAATTAAACTGTTGTTTCCGCATGCAGTGAGTACGTCTGGCTTAGATCTGATTTACGATCTGAAAGCAAAGTACGCACTCTGAAGAATGGGGAATGGGCTTTCCATCAGAGGACCAAGCAGAGCGAATCAATTCAGGTGGACAACGATTTGAATCAAAAATGCTTCGAACGACGAAAGGAAAAATGCGTTAAAGGAAAGGGTGTAAAAGAAAGAAATGCTTCCTTTCTTCTGCATTACTTGGTCCATCGGACATCAATCGTTCCCTCAGCCGAACTTCTATCTCAGACGAGAGGAGATTCTTGTCCTTTATGGTAGGGTGTGCAATTACTCAGAAGAATTTGCGCATCGCTGGAGGTTCCAAGAGACATCATCCGACAGGAATTCATATGGAGATGCCCTGCTCGTTGTATGGGTTCATTTTGCCCTTACGGAAAGAGGGCTTAAATGGATGCTATTAACGAAATAAGGAAGCCGAGACGCCATGATATGCAGCGAGAACCTGGGATGTCAGCGTTAGTCCGAACTATGTACCCATTTAGTATTCAGTGCGGAGTGGTGACATGAGGTCGCTGCTTGGAGGTCTACGAATCAGTGGTACATGTGCTATGGGTAAAATAGGTGCGTAATCGTATATACCAGAAAATATTATACGTTTTGGACGCAGTCTCAAAAGTAGTCACAGAGGCACAACCCTTTGGCAGATAGGCGTGTGTGAGTTAAGTACCACACCAGTATGCTGATCGTCCATCGTAGTTGCTGTGGTCGTCGTGTTCCATGGGTGTGCATATTGTATCCTGTTTGTTTCTGAGACGAAGTCCAAAACGTAACGTGTTTTCCGGGAATATGGTACTGCGCATGACTCACAATATTCAATATTAGTCCAAAGTAAAGAGAAAAAGAAAAACACCGTCAAAACTCAGGTCTTGACAGATACTGCTCAGTTCTTAGCAGTAATGCGTATAAGAAGTGGGACTCAATTGGCGGCGAATGAGAGTTAAGAGAAAGAATACGGACATTGAGAACTTCCTTCGTCTTTCTTCTAGGATTACTTGCTGGCATCTCCTCAAAATCCTGCCTATTCATCGATAAAAGCCTCTTCCTTACCTCACATCCGTCCTCTCAAGGTCGCGCATCCCCCACTCCCTATCTTCCTATGCCCCCTATCTATACTGTGATTAAGGATTATCTCGAGAGAAAGAAGCTTAGCATTTAGTAATTGCTTTACCAGGACGCAAGGAGGCAGCTCAACAGGTTACAAAACAAAAATGGAGCCTCTTGATAAGAATCGTAGAGCAAAATGGCCCTTTCTACTGCCCTCATAAGTTACGGTTACAATTGAGGAGTTCTCTGGAAAAGTTCTTAAGTGCCCATACGCCCATCTTCCATATGCATATACACGCGCAACTTAAAAGTGACTTGCCATAGGATAGGGTAGCCAACAGGTGGTTAAGATGCATATTCAGTAAAGGAGAAGCCGATTTCCTTATGCTCTCACTATTTTACAGGCCAAGCGCCTTGAAATTTCAATATGGCTGCCTCCATGAATTTTTCATTAGTACCTGAATTGCTGAACGATTTGGTGAAAAATTTTCCTCCTTTCAAACTGAAAATGAGAATGAGGAAGAAATAAGACAGGAGGAAAAGGAAAGAAGTCAGCCCAGTCATCCAAGCCTCTGGAAGGATGTAAGAAGTTGGTAATAGCCAAGAAACAATTGAAGATCCATTGATGAATATTTTAATACTGGATCACTGATGAGTAATTGGTGAATGAAACTTTTCCTGAATTCTCCTTTTTTTATTGGCTATCTTTGCGGAAGATTTTAATTGAAATCTGGATATGGATTTTTTGGCAAATTATTTTTAACCGGAAAGAAGCGGCGAAAGACTGGTTGGAATGAGTTGCAACAGCGTGGATGTGGGAAAAGGTCTTATGTGTGGAAACACTTTCTGCTTGCATTTCCATGTGAGATACAGAAATGCATTAAATCGCCAAGTTCACTTGGGATAAGGTCTAAGACAGCGGTACTCAAACTTTTTGAGGTGGGGCGTGCATATAGATGTGACCAACCTAGCGCGTGCCGCACTTAAGAAAAATAGAATAATAGAAAAATATAAATAAAAGGAAATCCAATCAACCCAAGTATCACTCATGCAATGGTATTTATTAGCAAAACAAAGACTTACATGCGGCCCGCGGGCCGCAGTTTGAGTACTGCTGGTCTAAGATATCATTTGACTGGAAACTGAGTTTTGACCAGCCTCATACAGTATTAGCTTGGAGAAGTTTTTGCCGCTTATCTCGAATTTTATCTTTTGCACATACGTCCTTTTTCCAGAAAACTCCTCAATTACGCATGAACTCCGAAATAGGCTAAAATCCATTATTCCTTCATTTCTGCAAGGAAACCTCGTCTGTTTTGGATCAATACTGGGTCAATACTGGGTAGGCACTGGGTTGTTGGGGATCTTTTTCTTCTTGTTCTTCCGGAGAACAAGCATAAAAACCAACACAAAACCAATTTTGAAATAAGACGCTGATTGACTCGACTCTGTGCCGTAGTTTTGCCTTTTGGCGGTCTCTAGGACCAATCCAATATTGAAATTACTACGAAGTACTTCATTCCAAAACACGCCGATCCCGCAGCAAAAACGATGGAATCTGCTTCCACAAAGGAGGGCATTACTGGTTTTTGCCTCAATCCCGAGGCGTGCTTGTCGGAGATCTGAAGTACTGATCCAGAACTGAGTACTTTAGTGGAACATAAGATTACGAAAAAGATTACGTAGGGCGTACATGTTCAGTAAGTCAGACCCTTCCAGAATATGTTACAGAGGTCCTGCTAAATAGAGCTACTGCTCTAGCTGAGGCAGACGACAAACATGAGACATGAAAAATAAAATCGGTGAAAAAATGGAACAAGACTGAGAAAGTGTTCTGGCAAACCATTCGAAGGCTTCACCAAGGCAGGCAACATGCTCTCCGGGTCATAGAAGACCAAAGCGGGAAGGTTCTGGCAACCGAAGCGAAAATATACCAAACTAGCTTGATTCTGACCCCATAAGCTAGAAAGAAGAACCCATTTCATGCGTGATGAGCAGAGGGTGAACATTCCTCTCAAGGAATTCATGTCCAAACAAGGGAAACCCGAAGAAACTAGACAATGAAGGCGAAGTCCCTTTAAATTCCTCGCTAGGAAAAGAAAAACTTTAGTCAGAAATGACTTTCACATTTAATGGCCCGTAAACGTATGAATACGCTCCGCGGCATAAATCGGAAGTGTAAACTCATCCTATTGCGTCATGCACAATTTGTTCAAGAATGTTTCTGCGATGTTGTGCCAAAGACACGCCATGAGCAGCAGCACGGTGGCTATCAGTAATGGAGCTGATAGAGAACTCAATTACCACTTCACCCCTGCTTTGAATGGAAAGTTAATTCAATGGGGTTCATATAGGGGCTTGTAATGACA